CCAATTCGAAATCAACCAGATTTATAAGGGTTTAGGGGCAGGGCGCTGCCAAGCGGATTCTTCGGAGCAGCTGAGGGGGCCTGAACTCTTTGCTCCGAGTCTTGGTCTGTGCTGTGTCCCAGGTTTGGGCGGCGGTGCACTCGTGGAGAACTTCAGTCAGGGCCCCAACACTTCTGCCATCTTCCGCAGCTGCCGGGCGGGACAAGGCCTGGGCAGCAAATTTCTTCTGATTGGTGGGAGCGTACTGGACAAAACTTGCGCCAACTCATGGTCTCGGAGAGAGGGCATCCGGCTTGCAGTCTCCCAGACTTCGGAGTTTCCAAAACAGCAGCCGCTGCGGCCACCCCACTCGCCTCCCAGAATATCCAGGAGGCGGCCTCCGCGCCTATGGCGGCTACCGCCAGGAAGCCGGGAGTTCGGTGCTCTTCGAGAACTGCTCGGCAGATCGCGCTTTGGCCGTCGAGAACGTAGATGAGCGTTGTTGCATTCGGGTGTCCTCACCACGTTATTTGTGTGGTCTCATTCCGAGCGACACGGTCCTTGGTGTCCGACGGGCTTGCAGGGGCGGCAGATAGAGGCTGAAGATCTCTACGTACGGTTTGGGGCTGGCCGTGCTAGAGAGACGAAAGGCCGTAAGGCTCACGCTGCAAAGTTGGTTCTTCTGAGCAGCTGAAGTGGCCTGAACTCATTGCTCCGAGTCTTAGCCTGTGCTGCCTCGCAGGTGTCGGCGGCGGTGCATCCGCGGAGAACTCCTTCACACAGGGCCCCAACACCTCTGCCACCTTCCGCAGCTGCCGGGCGGGACAAGACGGAGTCTGGGCAGCAGCTTGCCCGACTCCCCACCCTGTTGGGCGTGGCCATACTCGTGCCATTTCGAGCCTAAGACGGACAGGGACAGCTCCTGCAATGAAATGTTTTCAATGTTGGTGGCAATGCTGGGGCCCCCACATCGCAAGCGCATCCCAGACAGACACGTTAACGGGTTCGGCGTTTTCAAGGGCGGCAAGTCTACCAAGGAGGCGGCCTCCACGCCAAAGGCGGCTTCTTCGATCGACTGTGTTTGTCGTTGGCTTTCCGAAGGGCTTGCAGGGGCGGCGTGTGCAGAGGCTGAAGATCTCTACGGCTTGGGGCTGGCCGGGCTAGAGAGACAATGGGAAGATTGTGCCTCGTAATGTAAAGCGGGCTGCTGTGAGCAGCTGAAGCCCCTGAACTCAGCCCGTGCTGTCTCTCAGGTGACGGCGGGTGTGCACGCTTGGGGCAGAACTTCATTCAGGGCCCCAACAGCGCCGCCATGTTGCGCAGCTGCAAGGCGGGACACCATGGAGCCTGGGCAGCAGCTTTCTTGTGCCTGCTGCTAGTGGGAGCCTCCGACGCCCATCTTCATGCTGTAGTGCATGGCCACTGCAAGTGCCACGGCAGGCTTTTAACTGGCTGGTGGTGACTGCCTGCACGGTCCGAGAAACATAGCCCTTGAAGTACTTGCCATGCACGCACTTATTGCCCACCGGGCTAGCCTCTGCAATCAAAAAGTTAGCAGGGTGTGGGGTTTGGGGGCCTCTTTTTGAGAGATTTTTCTGTGGCCATTTTTATGGCCCCACTCCTATCCACCTGTCAGACACGAAAACATGTTGGTGCCCCAAGGAGGCGGCCTCCACGCCAAAGGCGGCTACCAGCAGGAAGCCGGGAGTTCGGTGCTCTTCGAGCACTGCTCGGCAGATCGCGCTTTGGCAGTCGAGAACGTAGATGAGTGTTTTTGCTTTCGGGTGTCCTCACCACGGTATTTGTGTGGTCTCATTCCGAGCGACACGGTCCTTGGTGTCCGACGGGCTTGCAGGGGCGGCAGATAGAGGCTGAAGATCTCTACGGTTTGGGGCTGGCCGTGGGCTCTCACTGCAAAGTGGGTTCTTCTGAGCAGCTGAAGGGGCTTGTCTGTCAGGTGACGGCGGTGGTGCACACGTGGAGAACCTCACACAGGGCCCCAACACCTCTGCCACCTTCCGCAGCTGCCGGGCGGGACAAGACGGAGTCTGGGCAGCAGCTTGCCGACTCCCCACCCTGTTGGGCGTGGCCGTACTCGTGCCATTTCGAGCCTTAGTCGGACAGGGACAGCCCCTGCAATGTAGTGTGTGGAAGATGTCAAGGTCTGGGATTGATGGCAATGTCTGTAGGGATTTGTGAACTGTCGATCCCAGACAGTCACATTGGAGTCATTGGAGCCTCGGTTCAGGGTTTAGGGTTGAGGCGCGTTTGCAGAGCGTTCTCTCTTTGTACAGGAGGTGGCCTCGATGCCTCGAACTACCAACAGGAAGCCGGGAGTTCCGTGCTCTTCGAGAACTGCTCGGCAGAGGGCCATCAGAGCGCCTTGGCAGTGGAGGATAATATGAGCTTCGCCTTATCGGGGTGTCCTCGCGATGGTAATCCTGGTCTCATTCCGAAACCCGAAGCCCTAAAAGTCCGTTCCATTGCGCTTCAAAAAAAGAAACCCTAAACCCTTAAACCCAAAATTCCGAAACTGTCCCGGGCTCCATAATCGAAGCGAAGTTCGGGGTTGGTCTTCGATCGTACATCGGTGCCTTGGTTTTTGGGTGTCGGAAGGGCCAGCGGGATCTGCTTGACAGGCTGTCTACGCGTCTTGGGGCCGGCCGTGAAGATTTAGGGTTTAGGGTCAGGGTTCCAGGTTTAGGGTCAGAGCATGGCCAAGCGGATTCTTCGGAGAAGCTGAAGGCCCTTGAACTCATTGCTCCGAATCTGGGCCTGTGCTGTGTCCCAGGTCGGGGCGGCGGCGGCGGTGCATCCGTGAAGAACTTCACACAGGGCCCCAACAGCTCTGCCATCTTCCGCAGCTGCAGGACGGGACAAGACGGAGTCTGGGCAGCAGTGAGTGTGGGCAAAACTCGTGCCGTGGAGGCCTTTTTTGCGAATCGGGACAGTCCCTGCACTGAAACGTGTAGCAAAACTCATGGTCTCGGAGAGATGGCATCCGGCTTGCAGTCTCCCAGACTTCGGAGACACCGGCCGCTGCGGCCACCCCACTCGCCTCCCAGAATATTTCCCAGGTGGCGGCCTCCATGCTTCAAGCGGCTACCAGCAGGAAGCCGGGAGTTCGGTGCTCTTCGGGCACTGCTCAGCAAAACGCGCCTTGGCAGTCGAGGACGTAGATGAGCTGACGTGGCTGATCCGAACGCGGTGTGTGAAGATGCATGAGGTTCGAGTGCATAGACGTACCTGCAAGAATGGGAGGCAGTGTAGATAGAGTCCAAGCAACTACCAGTAACTAAGGTCAGCACACTCATGGAAGCCCGCTTCCCTGCAGCGTTGTATCTCCCACGCTCGCTGATGCTGAGGGGATGGAGGCGGTGTTATCACCGAACGCCTGGACGGCGACGGCTCAATGCACTTCAAGGCATGCCGCGCACACGCAGGCCAGGAACTTGCCACGCCTAGGCTCCTTGGGAACTGCATTGAGCCAAGAATGCTGGCGTGATGGACCATCTTGAGTCCTACTGGTAGCTGCTAGAGCTGCTAGGCGTGCGCATCACCGAGCTCCAACCCCGTGGCCAATTCTGTGTTAGATAGAAAGGCCTGCACCCTAAACCTGAGCTCTCTGTACTTCTGTTGACAGGCTCCGACCTAGGGGCTCATCCTGGCATAGGAGTGTCGCACTCGTAGCAGCTCTGAGAAAAGGAGCCCTCAAACAAACCCTAAACCACCCTCAACTAACCTTGAACCCTTAAACCCTAAACCCTTGCGCATACAAGGATCTCAGAGCCCCTACATAAAAAGGGCTTTGAACCTCCCAACCTGGCAGCAAGCATCTTGTACGACTACCAACGCATCCTTTTACCAGTACCATATGTAACCCTAACCCTCCAGGTATTACTATATAGGGCCTAGGGGCTCTTGTACCCGACATAGTAGGTACCTGTTGGGCTAGGGTAAGCACTATAAGTATTAGGGTTTTCAGATTTAGGGATTTGGGGTTTAAGGTTCTAAGTATTAAGTAGTACTCTAAGTTGCATAAGTACTGCTGCTCTCATACGTATTGTCGGTCGGTATTACGATCGGTATCATTGTCCTGGCATCTGCGAAGCTTACTATCGCTGGGCACAGGTGGCGGCCTCAGGATCACCCAAGCCGGCACGGTGCATCACGGCGGTTCGCTTGCATTCGAGGCCGGGTGCTTGGGTGCTGGCGGGTTTCGGGAAGGGTTTAGAAGGGTTTAGTTCAGGGTTTATGGTTTAGTAAACCCCAAAACCCTAAACCCTTTAGGATCTTTTAGATCACTGTTTCGGATGTTTTGGCGGAGCCCGAAGCAAACCGTGACCCTTAGTTCGAAATCCTTCGAGTCCATGGAGCCTGAGAGCCGAGAGAAACGGAGCTTTGAAGGCGTGCCATGCCAGCAGCATCGGCGGCGGGCTTTACCTGAAAGAAGGCCAAGGCTGGCAGGGGTGGATGGTTGTTGGCCAGGCTTGAAAGCTACATCTTCGCTGTCATCCCATATCATGTTACCAGCGGAGACTCGGGGCTCGTGCGCACCTCGTTTCAGGCTTGCTCACACAGACAAGCATCTCATCATCATAGTAACTTCGTGAACCGGCTTTCAGCAGCATCCGATGATCTGTCCAACATGCTACCTTGGCTGAGTTCATTTGTTTCACATGCAACATCCTGCACGTCTTATCCGCCTCATATACGCGCCGGGAGTAGTTGGGCGAGACTTGCGCTCCTAAGCCCTAAACCATCGACTCTATGGTCTACTAGGGGTTTAGGGGTTTAGGGTTTAGGGCCACCAATGCCCCAAGAGAACCAGAGAGTCGTAGAGCAAACCCCGTGGCGGCTCCTTTTCACGTGGCCAGCTCCGAACCTCAAAGCCATCGGGTAGTAACGGTAGTGGTGGGTTGGGCTTGGTTTATGGGTACGTCTTTGACGTAAAAGCACCTATAAGGCTTGCTGTCGGGATTGCTGGTTTAGGGTTTGGGCTTCGGTGTAGCACAGAAGCCTGGTGAATCGCCAAAACTATTCCTCAGGCGTTTCTTATGGCGATGTTTGTCTCCAAACATTGCCCCAAACCCTACTCTCGTTATGAGCAGCATTATTACTGCTTTAACTTTTTTTATTCAAGTTACTACTCTTATTATGATAAGCTCACAATCTCAAAAAGGTTGGGGAATGGGTGCGCCAGTCGGAGACGCTGCTTATAGGGAAGCCTTTCGAGAGGCTCTTTCGCTGGGTCTGAGCCAGTGATCAAAGCCCTAAACCCTAAACCCTAGATGGAAAGTCTCACAAGGAAAGCGGAGAAGTCAAACGAAAGAGTGGCAGCGCATCCATCCAACCGCTTCCCGCTGGATGCATGAAACGTTCTGCACTATGACTGAAGTCCTCTCACTCGACATGGATCTTTCAGGACAATTTGCAAAGCTGCTTCTGGATGCCTGCGACGCTGACGTGGCCGCAGCCGCCTTCGCTGCAGTTGCAGACGATGACACAGAAGCGGAAGTGCAAATCGAGGACCGGGATTCGCCTGTGACATGTGTCCGCATATTTTACCCAGCCTGTGTTTAGGGTTTAGGGTTTAGGGTTCAGCAGTAAAGATTCGGGGAAGTCGCTGGCTGGCAACCGACAAAACCAACACTGCAGATGGGACAGAGTCACTTTGGATGGACGGCTCCTGTTATATAGCACCTCTAGTGGCGCGCAAGATCTTATGCCTTCAGCCCTAAATCCTGAACCCTAAACCCAAAACCCTGAACCACAACCCTGAAACCCTAGACACTTAAACCCCTAAACACGAAACCCTAAAGAACACCTAAACCTCTGAACCTTAAACCCAAACCTAGGAGTTGGCTTCAGGAGCTCTCATTGTTGAGGGACAGCAAAGGCGATGTCAACGACTTCGCAGTTTCAGGCCGAACCAGCTTTTCGACAGGGCCGAGTGTGGGTCTAGCATGGTGGCTTTTGCTCCCTAAACCCTCAACCCTAAACCCTGGGCATCTTGTGGTTTGCTTGCGTTGTTGTCTGGTCTCGTTTTTGGGAGTGGCGCTGGGCCCAACATGGCCCGACCCAGATACTTTGGACACTCAGTCGGAAATCGGGAGGCAGGCAGGAAGGTCAGCGTCCATCCACTCCCCTTGCCGGTGTGCTCGCAAGTGTCGCAATGTTCTGGGCTGCGCTCGCATGACAGCCGTTTCGTGATGCTGTGGGTTGTGTGAGTGCTTTCGGAGCTTGCTGGCCGCTACTTGCGGCAGCAAGCCCCAGCACCTGGACCCGAAAAGCAGGAACAATCGGGTTCCAAACGCCCCTCAAGCGGGATTGCATACCGCATGATTACCGTTGTTTGTTGTCTGTTTTCAACTAATTACCCGGGTTTCTGTGCGGTTTCGTGGGTGTTGTTACTACCATAGCCATCTTGCTTTCTTGGCCACATGCTCTTTCGTGCCTCTTTCAAAGCGAAGGCAACGGTGTGTTGGATATCTTGACCATGCTCAAGTATGTAAGCACTCTCTCTCTCTCGCTCTCTCTCTCTCTCTCTCTCTCTCTCTGTCTCTTTCTTCCTGGCTGCTGCTCTCCGAAGTCCGCTTGCAAGATCGAGCTCTCTTGCTTGTGAAGTCTGGTGAAGGATGCGTTGTGCTTTCGAAGCCAGTGCTGACTCTGATCCCTAAACTTCCTAAGCTCTTCCGGGTTTCTCCTGCACCAAAAGCCAAAGGACGCTTGTTCGAGGATCAGGTTCACAAGTTGCCAGCATCCTGCCGTGACAGGCCTGTTGAAGATTGGCTCCGCTCACCTGAGTACGGAGAGCTCCGAGAGCTCCGGCATCTACATCTCGGCACGTAATCTCTCTCTCGAAGCTCGGAGGCAGATGTCATGCAATCGAGGGATCATCAGGGCGGCCCAAAGCTCTTCATTCTTTGTTTTAGTGCAAGGAAGAGGCGATGAACTGCACCAGTACCTCCTCTTGCAACTGGACTGCATTGCGAGCTTTGACAACTCCGAGTTGAGACGAGAAGCTTTCTCATCCAGGCACATTCTATGCGAATGCCACCGCCACCCGAAATACTGGCTTCCTTTGCCCTTTGGGCACGGGTGCGGTGGACTTCCAAGCCTTGCATGATTTCGGCTGCCTGGTACCGCTGGCCTGCATTCTTCCCAGGTGCAGGGCCCGATGTTCCGGGCCCCATGGAGCTAGCTACTGTTTCGTGGGTGTGTCGAACTTGCAAGTGAACTCTTCTGGGATAGCTTGTGATCCAGGCAACCTAGTTTTGGCAGGCCTGTTGCTTTGACTACCAAGGTTAGTAGCCAGGAATCGGTAGTGTCATGCACATGGAGAAGGATCATGCCGGGAGGTGCTCGACAGAGAACCGAACCGCACCACGAACTTCCCCTGTAAATGCAAAGACTCAAGAGCGCCTCAGACCTGCCAGGCATGCAAGCCGGGGGACACACAGGTTCTGAACGTGACGAGCAGGCCTGCTGTGTTGAATGGCAGCGTTCTCGCAAGGAGGGGGGCCGTTGTGATCTTCGCTTTGCTGTTCAACCCTAAACCCTCAACCCTAAACCTTAAACTCTAATCTCACATGCTCCAGCCCTCAGAACCCTGAAGACCCTAACAGCTGCGCGGCGTTTCATAGCCCAGAATGACAGCATCGCAGCGAGACAGATACCACTGCAAGGTCCCTCTCCAACGTAGCCTAACCCTAAACCCTAACCCTAAGCCCCAACCCCCCAAACAAAAAGACAAAAAAAAAACCAAACCATAAACCCCCAAACCCCTCAACAACCTTAAACCCTAAACCCCAAACCCCTAAAGAACCCTAAACCCAAAGCTTCAAACCCCTAAGCAACCCTAAAACCCTGGATTTTGCAACAGCTCTACAGGCACGGTGAACAGCAACTTTCATCGCAGAAGCCTCCCTCTTCCAAGTGGCTTTCAAGTCCACTTCCAGCGGTTTAGGGGTTTAGGGCTTCAGGTCTAGAGTGTAGGGGTTGAGGGATTTAGGGGCTTAGAGTTTAGGGGTTTAGAGAGAGTTTAGGGTTTAGGGTTTAGGGATTTAGGGATTTAGGGTTTAGAGGTTTAGAGTTTAGGGGGTGTGATGTTTCTTCCCTCGGCTTCCGACTGTTGCGTCTCCAGGCCGTGCAGTCAGTGCCCGGAAGGGGCTTTCAAATGCCTGGCCGGCGAGCTGAAGATGGAGTGCTCTGTCTGAGTTCGTTTAGGATTTTGGGTTTAGGGTTGTAGGGTTTAGGGTTTGGGGTTTAGGGCCGCATTGACCAACTGGAAGCTTTTGGCTTCGGGGCCTTGGGTGTATGGAAGCCTGAACGACTAGTTATACTCGGCCCCTCGTTATACTTCTATGAGATATAACCCACAACCCTATTCTAATAATTAAGGCACCAACATGATGCGAACCTGGACCCTAAACGCTAAACCCTAAGTCGCCAACTGACGACGAAACCCTCCAGAGGATGCTCAGTCTTTGAGGCTTGAGGAAATTGTTGGGGAATTGTCGCCGTAATTCAGAAGTGGGGTTTAGTGTTCCGGACGCTCTTCTCGGATGTCTCTTTGAAGAGTAGGTTGAGAGAAGAAGGAATCTGAAGGGGACCGTCGTAGTTGCGCGCCAGAAAATCATCATGCAGGCGGTGCAGCTGTAAACCCTATAGCCCGAACTCGACATCCGAAACCCTGAACCCCTGTAGTAGGGCAGCAATGAACAGAAATGGAATCCCCTCATCGAAGAGCTGTTTCCCGAAAGGCAGTTTTCATGTTCTGTTTGCAGGTGCACGATCCCACTCTCTGTAGTCTTGCACTGAAAGGCGCTTATGCGCCACACTGGCTTGCTCTTCCGTAACCCTTCGTTTCAAGGCAAACGTAAAGCATTGTCGTTCAACAGGGACGTACATAAGGTACGTCCAGGTGCGTTTTTGTCCGTGCTGTGCTCCACCAAGTAAGCACGAACTCTAAGCACATGACTCTCCTCGCTGTAATCCTTCATTTCACCGTGAAGAGGGCTTTCCTCTCTGGGGCCTTTCATACAAGGGGTAAGATAAGATGTCGCGACCGATAACAAGTCAGCTTCTTATCTAGCACATTCATTTTCCGAGCATTCTTTCAAAAGCAGGCAGCTGAAGGCAGTATCAGGATGCCCAGCCTAAACCCTAAAAACCCCAAACCCCTAAATCCTGAGCCCTAAAACCCAAACTCCTAAACCGTAAGCCCTAAACCCCTAAACCCCTAAGCCCCTAAACTCTAGGACTCTAGGCCCTAAAACCCTGAGCCCTAAAACCCTGAACCCTTAAATCCCTAAACCCCAAACCTCAAACCCAACTGTGAAAAGAAACTCTAAAAAGACTCAGGCCCGGGCTAATGGTGGAGCTGGAGGACGTGAACCGCAGCTTCCACTGCCCGAACGAGGCTGGGAAGATGTCGTGGGTTCCCTTCAAGGAAGCTTAGGGTTTAGGGGGGTTTAGGCGCACCCGAAATTCAGTCCGAAACCCGACAAGCGAAATTTAGTCCGAAACCGTATACGCGAAATTAAGGCCGACATCCTTTACGCGAAATTCAGGCCGAAACCCAGATACGCGAACTTTAGGCCGAAGCCCTCTACGCGAAATTTAGGCTGAAACCTTATACCCGAACTTTAGGCCGAAACGCGGTACGCGAAATTTAAGCCGAAACCCAAACTTTGCGAAAACACCGATGAGCATTCACCGTTTGCAGAAAACCCGTATTGACGGTTGGCAGAAAAGCCACTAAGCAGTCACCATCTGCAGAAAAAAACATCTAAGCAGTCACTATTTGCAGAGAAACCGCTAAAATGTCATGGAAAAAGCTTGCTTTTGCGAAAATGCCGCGAATCAATCAGGGCTCGAATAAACATATATATATATATACATACATATATAATATATAAGACCAAGAGAGAGGTTTAGGATTTTGGGTTTAGGATTTAGGGTTTAGGCTTTAGGGTTCAGGATATTAGGAGGTTTAGGGGTTTAGGCTTTAATTAGGGTTAGGATTTAGGGTTTTTGGAGGTTTAGGGTTTGAGCCGGTTCCCAAATTTACAGAGGTTTTAAGGTCAAGGGTTCCCTTTCAGGGATCCACAAGGGTTCTAATAGATTGGCCGTAATAGTTAGAATAGGGCTATGGGGCCCATGATACCATAAATGTAATAAGCCTAAACCCTAAACCCCCAAACTAGTCTTTATGATTATTTAGGCCCCAACATTACCAAGGCTCCATGAGGGCGTAGGAGTTTTGAGAGGAGCTGAAAGCCCCTCAATGCAGAAGTCAGGCAGGAGCCGGACTGGAAGGAGTATTTATCTTAACATAATCCAAAGTACTACAATATGGAATTCATTAATCCAATACAGTAATATCAAACTATGAGATACTATAGATACAGTTCTTGCTGTATACTGTCCATGTTCCGGGCTTCGGCCACGAGAGTGGTTGGATTGTGCACACTGTGCGCCATGAACCCGAGCACGAAGTGTCTATCGAGAAGTAGAGACCCTAAACCCAAGACCCAAAACCCTAACCCTACACGGCACTCTATGGCGCTGAACTAAGCCCTACATGTAAGAAGTCAAGACATCCATCCCTGAGGCCGCTTGCCCTGGAGGCGATGTATCTCAGGGAAGGGTTCGCCAGGCAATGTGCCAAGACGGCTGCATGGGCTGCAAGGAGTTCATGGTCGACTTTGGGGTTTGCGTTCCTGGTGTTGACAGCAGGCACTTCGGGCTTGGAAGCTCTCTTCGAACTCAGGCGACTTGTCAGTTGGCTTTGCCCTTTGAAAACCCTAAACTCCTAAACCCTGAACCCTAAACCCTGAACCGAAGATGTGTACAGATGCCACATGAAGAAGTCTTCATCTCAAGAGCGCAAGGCTATCGGGGCCAAGGCTGCACGAGCTGCAGAGAGGAGTATGCCATTACGGACAGCAGCGTGTTCTCGTGCTCCTTGCCCCACCTGAGCAATCAAGCGGTTTAGGGTTTAGGGCTACTGTCTGAGCCCTGCAGCCATGGTGCGATGCTCCCTACATTGACATATCGAGTCACAAACCAAGTAGTGTCTAGGGTTTAGGGCTGCAGGGTTCTCACGGAGAGTCTACTTTGCCGAGCTGTGCCTGATCAGTCATGCTGCTCGCTGCGGGTCTCACCTCCATTTAGACCTTCAAGCTCACCCCGAGTGCCTCCGATGCTTCGCACCCGTTCCAAACCGACACTTCTCGCAGTTGAATCTCCAACTGTCAACATGCTCAACAAGGGACTGTGTTCCTTGAGGCAACCCCTAAACCCTAAACCCTAAACCCTTCGTAGTCCTGCAACATGCTGCCAAGGCACCGCCTGCAGCGAAGACCGTCGTGTGCAGGCCGAACATTTTTGCCATACACTCCGGGTTTCTAATATAGGGTTTATGAAGGGCTATTCTAAAGGGTTTAGGGTATTGGGTTCAGGGTTTAGGGTTTAGGGGCCTGAATTATTACCTATAGTATTTCGGTGGTTCCTTATTATCATGGTTGTAACATCTCGGTTCGATCGGTTTGCGGTTGTTTGCGATTGTATGCGGTACAGTATTGCTAGGTATTGCTGTTGGCGGTGCAGTGCGGTTCGATACCATCCCTCCGGCCCTCCAGCCTTCCAACCCTCCAGTCCTCCAGAACCCTCCAATCCTCCAGCCCTCCAGCCCCTCCAACCCTCCACAGCCCCTCCAACCCTTCAACCATCCAGCCCTCCAGCCCCTCCATCCCTCCAGCCCTCTGCGGGTTCTGGAGGGACGGAGGGTTGGAAGGCTGGAGGGATGGAGGTGCGGCATCATGCGGTGTCATGTGGTGTCGATTTCTCTGCGGTGGGGATACGATTCGGTGAGGATACCGATTCGATGTCGATATATGTATTGTTGCGACGGCCATGATTATAGTTACGGTATAACATTCCCCAAAACCCCCATTCTAATAGTAGGGCCCCCATATTTGGACGGTTTGACACGGGAAGGCACCGCATTTTTGCCTTCATGGCCCTCCCGGAAAATCACACAGCTAGAGGTGTTGATCCCACATCATCTCCACATGTCAAGTCAGAAGCCTTTCTTGCATGCGTGGCCCGGCCCAGGGCAACCTGCAATGGAGTAAACCCTAAACCCTACACCCTAAACCCTAAACCCTCAACCCTATACCCTAATCCCTAAACCCTAAACCCCCAAAAAAACCCCTGGGTGGAATCTGCAAGCCCAAACCCGAAGCCACCAACCGTTGAGCTTCACGAAGTCAGCCTGTCAAGCTCAAGCGCTTGACAGTGGCCCTACTGCAAGGCAATCAGCAAAACGACCGCATGTAATAAGTTCTCGCGACCATCGGCTAGCATCTGGGCAAATCTTCCTCAATGTTTCCGAAAGGGCAGCTTAGTTTGTCTACACAAAGATTCCAATATCCCTTGATCACAGTGAAGAGCCTGCAGCAGGAACTCATTCAGGGCTGTGAAACTCCACAAAACGGGACGCACGTTAAGTCCTTACAACACCCCTTCAAGGAGGGGACCCCATTTAAGCCTAACCCTAAGCACTCAACCGATACCTTAAGCCCGAAAACCCGGAGGCCCTGAACCCGAAACCCGCCACATTGAAACAACAAAAATCCACAACCCATCATCCCCCCCCCGCCCGAGAGCCGGCGCAGGCGGTTCAGTGGATCACCTTCCTGTCTCAGCGCGCCTTCCTCTTCGCACTCGGGGCGCTCAGCGCCCTTGGAGCCAAGGACGACGCCTGACGCAAACCCTAAACTCTACATCGTAAACCCCAAACCGTAAAGCCCTCTGGCCGAAAGCCATCTAAGCTTAGATTCTACAGCCTCAAAAGGCCCTGAACCCTAAACCCTAAAGACTGAGAAAACACAAAGGACCGAATAACCCCACATGACAGTTCTTCTCGTGGGCAGCGAGACGTGTGTGCGCGTGTGTGCGCATGTGTGTGTGTGTGTGTGTCTTTGTCTGTGTATAGGGGTCCGGAGCGTGTGCCGCCTTCACCAAAGCCCGCTGCAGTCTTCCAGAGCAGGGGGTCCCGAGCGTGCGCTGCCCCTCCCAGAGCCTGCTACAGTCTTTGTGTGTGTGTGTGCGCCTCTCGAGGCAGTGTGTGCATGTGTGCGTGTCTGTGTGCTGTGGGCGGGAGCCGCGGGACAGGCGTTGGAGGAGGAGGACTGGATGGCCTCTAAGAAAACCAAAAACCCCACAATGATGTAGGGAATAACCCTAAAGCCACACCTCAGGCTCTCAAGCCCTGCAGCTCTAAAGCTTAAACCACCGAGCTCAGGCTGGGGACCTGAAGCAAAGCAGCATCTACCTGAACCAGCTGATGGCCTTCGCCACCATTTCCAACACGATGCTTGTCGGCATATCACGGGGCTTCATGGGTTTTCGGCTTAAACCTTAAGTCGTTTAGGCTGGGTTTAGGGGTCCTTCCAGAATTCTTCATGTGTGTCGGTTTGATGTTGTCCGGAATTCTTGGGAGAGTGCCGAGGATACTGGCTGCCGTCTTGCAAACCAAGACGGCGAAGGACATCAAAAACGAAGCCGCCGCCCTGCCGGCATTTGGGTTTAGGGTTTAGGGTTTTAGGGTTTAGGGTTAGGATTTATTATAGTCCAGGATTGGGGGTCTAGAGCTTAGAGGGTTCAGCCTTGCAGAAACTTCACCACCCGCCGGAGCCTCGAGCCAAGGCGAACTTCTTCTTCAACGCAACTCTTCACACGGCCGAGGC